GCGAGACAAAGCGTCAGCGACTCGATTGTAACAACCCTTTTTATGTCTCAATTCAAAATCGAAGATGTCAATCTCATGAAACCAGCGAAGTAAGGTAGGGGACAGAGTAGTCTGCATTTTGATCCACTTCAAGGTCTCATGATCTGATAACACTTTGAAGTGGCGTCCCAAAAGGTAATGTTTCCAGTGATCCAACGCCATGAGCAAAGCGTAAAGCTCGCGCATGTAGGTGGAAGTGGCTACCTTTACGCTGGGCATGCATTTGCTGTAGTACTCGAGTGGCCGCAGACCATCGCCGTCATCTTGTTGCAGCACCGCACCGATCCCATACTGACTTGCATCCGTAGTAACTACGAAGGTCAGTTTGGGGTCTGCAATGCGGGGTACCGGATAACTTACCAAGGCTTCCTTGAGAGTTCGAAACGCTTCCGTACACGCGGCATCTAAGGAATAAGACACATTCTTGCTGGTTAGTCGCGACAATGGATGAGCAATGATAGAAAAACGGGGTACAAACTTCCGATAGCACGACGCGAGAAAAGAACGCAATTCACGAATGTTCACAGGCTGAGGCCAATCGCGTATGACCTCAATCTTGGTTGCCTCAGGCTCTAGGCCTGCAGCAGACAACCTGTGCCCAAGATAGATGACGCTATCCCTCCCAAACTCGGATTTCTCCAAGTTGAGATGGAGCTGTGTCTTCTTGAGGATGGCAAGTACCTTCTCAAGATGCTTGAGGTGTTCCTCCATGGACTTGCTGAAAATCAGGATATCGTCCAGGTACACTACCACGAACCGGCCAATCTGTTCGCGGAGGACCTTGTCCATGAGGCTTCGGAACGTGGCTGGTGCGTTCGTAAGACCGAAGGGCATTACGGTAAACTCATAAAGCCCATCGCGCGTCTTGAACACAATCTTGTGCTGGTCCGCAGGATCGACTTCAATCTGGTGGTAGCCAGACTTGAGATCGATCTTGGAGAAGACCTTGCACCCGCCTGCAGCATCAAGCAAGTCATCTATACGAGGCAATGGGTAAGCATTCTTTCTTGTGATGCGGTTTAGACCGCGATAGTCAATACACATGCGGAGTTTGCCTCCTTTCTTTGGCAAAAACAACACAGGAGCACCAAATTCAGATTCGCTTGGTTTGATCCACCTTTTGTCAATCATCTCATCGATCTGCCGTTGGAATTCCTCCAACTCGCCGGGTCCCATACGGTACACACAACCCTTTGGAGGAACAGCACCCTCGACCAACTCAATGGTGTGTCGAACCGGTCGCGTGGGGACTCCACGTGGCTCGGCCAAGACTTATGGAAACCGATCGAGGAGGGCTTGGATGTCTGATGGGACAGGTGGGGGTGGGGAATCAGCAAAGGGATCACCAAAGTCCGGTCGCAAGTCGTGTATAGAGACGACCGAATCTGAAGTTGGATCATTTGGACTATCAAAGGGTCGAGAGGTAGAGGTGCTAGTAGTAGACGTGCTAGAAGTAGGATCATTACTCAAGGTAGTGGTGGTACTAGCCGCAAAAGTAGAAGGCACATGAGCAAGACGAACAAAGGCAACATACAATTGTTCTTCCTTTTTTTGCTTGCGCCATTTCTTGCAGAATTTCAGTGCATTTAGAAAAGTCACTGGGGACTCGTGCTTCTCATCCAAGAGGACAGGAAGCTCGTTCCCCTGAGCATCTTTGACCATGAAGAGTGATTCCTTCCACTTGGTCCATTCGTATTGGGACTGCAGCCAGCCCAAGCCGAGGACAGCGTCGAAGGGGCACTTGTCAAGGACAAAGAAGTTCAGTGCGTGGGTGACAGTCTTACCTCTGTCAAAGGTAGTGCGCACACCTTTGACTGCATGTGTAGAAGAGACAACTTCTTTGTTGCCAACTTGGGTCCGACAAGGGTTCTGCAGGGCCACT